GTGTGGGCTTCTGTACCTGGGGCCTCGTGGTGTCCTTGCTTCTTTGTGACGTGTTTCTTTTCTTGGGTTTTCTTTTCTTGATTTTTTTTTCTTCTGGTTTTTTCTTGTCTTGGGAGCGTACAGCAAGGAGGGCCTCTTTGTAGCTCAGTTTCTTGTCAAGTCGTGCCTTGGATATCTTGCATTCCTCATTCCATTTGGGGCAGGTCCGATCGGCGGAGGAATGTGGGCCGCCACAGGCAGCGCATTTTTTCACTGTGTTAGGGCACACTGTGTAGCGGTGTCCTGGGCTGCCGCACAGGGAGCAGGTGTCCTCCTGCGCCTCACACTTGTTGACAGTGTGACCATAGTGCTGGCATTTGTAGCAGCGTTTCGGTCTGCAGTAGGGCTTGACTGGCACAGTTACCCACGCCAGTTGAGCCTCCTTAGGTAGGGTTGCATGGTGTCCGATGAGGGCTGTGGTGTCGGACAGCTTCTTGACAACTTGGAGTTGTCCCTTGAGGAGTTCGCTCAGCTCTGCTTGGTCCACGTGGGCAATTTCGGCGTGGGAAATTACTCCCAGCTTTAGGTTGTCCCATTTGTAGGATGTCATTTTTATTGGGATGCCGTTGATGTCGGGGATCTCAGCGAGCTGTGCGGGCATACCCTTCTCGGCGAAGGTGATCTTTATGTCACCATGGAGCTTCAGTCATTCCACCTTAGTAACCCCCATGATCCCATTAGTTTCAAAGAACTTCTTAAGAAATAGGAGATTTAATTTCTTGGGGCAGGTCGGCGTATCCGGACGCATCCGCGCCACGTTGTCAAACTCGTAACCGTTCATGGTGAGAGAGGGTCAGAGAGTGTGATTACTAACTCACTGGTCACAGCGGTGTCAGGTCTTATAAGGCGGGGGTAGGCGTGGGTAGATAGTTGACCCCCGCTCCGACAGGCAGCACTGGAGGCGTAGACTGGGGAATTCGAGAAGGTTCGGCTACTCAGCGACAAACGGCGCTTGTAGGGAAGGAATCCACTACAAGATACCTCTGGTGAAGAAATTGCTCGTGAAGGAACATAAACAACCTTCATCACTCATGCAATTTATGTCATTTATATGCCCTTATAAGGCTGCATTTGACTGTTTGTATAAATTACTGTTGATAGCTGTAACTCTCCCTGTTACCAGTGCTTCATGCGAGAGAAGCTTTTCGAAAATGTTCAGGTACATTCAGGAGCCGGTGCATGCCCAGTACTTCCCAACAGCGTAACAGAAACGTGAGCGATCGCCCAAGCGGCTAACGAGCCGATCAATGGTGAAGAGGATAAAATTAAAAACAAGTAAAACGAAGGCACTCTAATACTTGAAATTTGTAGGGGTATGAGATATTTGTTCACACTCAGGATGGGATGGAGAAAGGAAACTCACAATGTGCTCACTGTATACATATTGTATTGGATGTACAATGCAGCTTGTTGGTGGGTAGGTAGCATGGTAATAAGTGTTGAGTAGAGAGAGCTGGGTGGTGAGGGTGCCCAGAGTGAGGGCGCTTGAGGGACGCCAAGGTCGCTGGCGGGAGTGGCAGCCCCCAGGCTGGCGCAGAGGAGGAGGTGTTGCTTGCTGGTGGCACTGGGTAGAAAGAAGAGGCTGGTCACAGCGGTGTCAGGCCTTATAAGGCGGGGGTAGGCGTGGGTAGATAGTTGAACCCCACTCCGTGGGTGGCGCTGGAGGAGTAGGCTGGGGAATTCGAGAAGGTTCGGTGCTTGTAGGGGAGGAGTCCACTACAATACTCCCCTTCTCCTCCGGGCGCGGCGGGAGGCTGGAGGTTGGTAGAGTTGAGTGCCACATGTGAGGCAGAACGGGCAGTGCATGCCACATGTGGAACATAACGGCGAGGGTGTGGATGAGCCGGCCGCTAAGGGGTGGGGGCAACTCTGTCTACAGCCACGAGATCTGTGTGAGAAAAGAGAGAGAAGGTGGGTTGTGGAGGCGATGAATGTTGTGCTTCCCTTGCGACAGGTACAGAGTCGTCAGATGCGCTTGCTGGGGTGTGTGGGTCTGGGTCAGGAGTAGGGGCTGCGTTAGGAAGAGTGTCCATGACAGCAGCAGGGTGCATGACAGCAGCAAGGTGCAGGACAGTAGCAGGGGGTACCTGAGGGAGAAAAAAGGGGTGTGTGGGTCCGCACTCAGGCGCATGGGCCGCGTCGGGAGCAGGGGCTGCATCAGGAGGAGCGGTATGGGGTACTGCTGGGCCGGGGGCGGCGTCTGAGGCAGGACGGGTGTGTTGGGGTCGGTAGGACGTGGTGCTTGGGGCAGGAAGAGGAGCGGCTGTCTGCTTAGAGTAGCAGAGCTGCTCTAGGGTGTCTAACCTGCGGTGTAGAGACAGTAGTTGTAGAGCCGATGAGAGCTGCTTCTGTGTGGATAAGCCAGTCTTCCATGTTGCTTGAAGACTGGGAGAGTGATTGGTTTCTCCTCCATCCTGTGTGAGTGCATCACTCCGGGGTCACCATTTGTAGGGGTATGAGATATTTGTTCACACTCAGGATGGGATGGAGAAAGGAAACTCACAATGTGCTCACTGTATACATATTGTATTGGATGTACAATGCAGCTTGTTGCTGGGTAGGTATCATGGTACTAAGCGTTGAGTAGAGAGAGCTGGGTGGTGAGGGTGCCCAGAGGAGGGACACACGGTTTGGGGGACGCCAAGGTCGCTGGCGGGAACGGCAACCGCCAGGCTGGCGCGGAGGAGGTGTTGCTTGCTGGTGGCACTGAGTAGAAAGAGGGGCTGGTCACAGCGGTGGCGTGTCAGGCCTTATAAGGCGGGGGTAGGCGTGGGTAGATAGTTGGCCCCCGCTCCGTGGGCGGCGCTGGAGGCGTAGGCTGGGGAATTCGAGAAGGTTCGGTGCTTGTAGTGGAGGAATCCACTACAAATTTAAATCAAGGCTGTATCGATTAGCAGTGAATTACTTCACATAATGTTAATGAATTAGAAAAAATAGAATTATGGAAATATCTTAAATTACACAAAACTTCAATATATACAAATACAAATTTAAATACATGGATTCTTTGTTTCCAGATATTGTTTTGGCCTACGAGCGCTGGCATCAAGCCGTGTGCCCCGTGACCTGCCTCGACAGATTTATCACACATTACTGGACCTCAGTCGTTTTATTACCTATCTAAAAGTCTACTCTCATACTGATCATACTGTGAGTTAATTATTCTTCATAAGCTTTTGCATACAACTCATTGGGGACCTTAATTTAGAAGTGTTATAAGAAGGCGGCCATGCAATGGTTAACTGCGTTAGTCGTCATAAGTCACCACCATACTGTCATTGTCGTCATACTATCGTCGATATATTGTCACCATACTGTCATTGTCGTCATAGTCATAGTCGTCATATTGTCATCGTCGTCATCCTGTCAGTCATTGTCGTGTCAGTGCGAGCTTCCTTCAGGGGTTCCGCAATTTTAAATAATAACAATGATAATAATAAAACAAACACAAGCTCAGTAGGCCTACATAGCATAAACAAAGGTTTATATTACTGTTCTTAACTAGTAACATATTAAATTAGGTCAGATACCACCCTAAAAAAAATGACAGCATAAAATATGGTCTCATGAGAAATTCCAAGTAAAGTGTTTAAAAACATAATTATAATCAGGTATTAACATGACCTTCAGTTGCACCAACAGTGTAACCTGCTGGTGACCCTTGGCTGTTGACCTTCAACGTAGGCACTATATTGTTTACACATTTTCTTGTAACTTTGCTTTACTTGCTACTGGCAATTGTGTAAATTGATATTACATTACATATAATTTCAATTAATCACCTTAATAAATTAGCAGATGTGTAACGTCAACACCCTTACACGGTGTAAGTTACACCCAAAGAAAAATTAGGTAAAATAGTGCTTAATTTGTTTGGTTCCACTTTGCCAGTGTCTAGTGCGTACTATGGCAGATGTAACCCGTGACAACAGAGCTTCATCATTAATATACAATGTACTTTAAGTAACCGTAAATAGGTTCATCATATCACCAGGACAGTGTATACATACCAATATAATTAATAATACCAAGGCAATCGTAACCTGAATAATTATTACATTAAGATGTAGTAACAAAAAATTATTTGGAAACGTAAATAAGACTAACCTTTATATCACCTACACAGTATAGTATTGAAATGTTTTCGCATAAATTAATGAGACACATGGCCAGACTATTATTTGTGGAATATAATCCACAATATATAACAAAACAAACTAATATTTCAGGGAATTAGTGGACACTGTACATTACAACAAAATTTAAAAATAACTATATTGTATATTATTTTAAATATTTGCACATTTGTGAAGTATTGCGAGCAATGTACTATAGTCAAAGTACTCGAGGGGTGGTGCTTAAAACTCGGTTTCTTTAACAGTTACTTACGGTTAGTTTATATTTAATACCTGGATTAACATAACTCAAGAGAGATAATCTGGATGACTTTAGTAAAATTACTGGAAATGCATCCACAATGCAAGCATGCATGTTTCCACCTCCATCAAGTGGGGGAAAAATCGTGTGTTTCAGGGGTTGTCAATATATAATATTTTCATAAAAATTATGGCACAATATTTAAATGTTTCACTGCATTATGTTAGAAAAAGCGCATACTGAGAACCTACGTTAATTGAATTGCTAAAACACAAGAAATGATGTCAATAGTTGACAAAATATATATCGCTTGGGAGATATTTGGTGCCTGGGTGCTCAGTTCTTTATATCTATTGTGAAAACTGTAAGATGATTTTACACGTTTCCGACACAGAAAGAAAGCTCATGCACAGGGCAAGGGTGCTGTAGAGTCTTGGAGTTATCTAGCACGTCCTAAGTGCGCAATAATTTAGGGAATAATAAACAGAAGCACAGGCCGGCCATGACGCTGGTCCAGTTGGCGTGGGATGCGCCCAGTTATTGACACGCTACTTTTCCGTCCGCACGCCAGATGTAGGCGGTGCTCAGCTGATGTTGACGCGCACTCCCACCTCAATCTTTCTGGTGCTTGCGCGCGTTACTTTGTTGTCCTTCTTGGATTTATTAAACCCATTGATTACCCTTTAATCGGTTAGAATAAAATATGTCAGACGAAGACGCCAAGGTAGAGGAGGCCCAGGAAGAGGATGAGGCAAAGGACGAGGAAGGAGAGGGGAGCGAGGGTGAGGAGGATGCCAAGGAAGAAGCTGCTGAGCCGCCTAAAAAGCGCGCCAGGAAAGCTGCTCCAAAGCCCAAGGAAGTACCGAAGAAAGGTGTGAGGAAACTACCTACTAGTATGTTTCGTCACTGATAACAGCATGACATGTGTTGCAAACTTCCTATATATATATATATATATATATATATATATATATATATATATATATATATATATATATATATATATATATATATATCATGTAAATCCACAATGAAAACGTGGATAAGATAAATCTTGATAAAATCACACGGGAAAATGGAAACAACGGAGTATTGAATAAGACGAAAGCTAAGGTACTCCGTTGTTTCCATTTTCCCGTGTGATTTTATCAAAATATATATATATATATATATATATATATATATATATATATATATATATATATATATATATATATGCAAGTAAATCACTGTAGGTGTGCTTGATTCAAGTATATGCTGATAACTATATATATAGCAACGTCTTATAAACAAGTTTCAGACTTGTGAAATTGATTACTTAAAGTTTCTACAGTTATAATTAGGCATTATCTATATAAAGCCAGGAATTATTCAATATTTTTAATGATTTGACGGGTCTACAGTGAGTGATAGTCCAGGTTATTATAATTGCTGCATTAACAGTGTTAACTATTAATCAAAGCTGTTATAGATTCTATTCACAGTTTGAGGTGAGATATTGAAATGGAGTCACTTCTTGAATTTCATTTTAGACCATAACTTCAAAACTGAACTGAACTGTACTGTTTAATTCGTTATGGTTCTTTAAATTCATTAGCTCTTAAAATATTTGTTCTTTTGTCACAAAATAGGAGACAGCTTGACCTTGGCCTACAGGTATATTTATTTTAAATTTGTCTTTGACATTGTAAATAATCCCACAAAAATAGCAGTTGAAATTGTCAGTCTTCATAACAACATGTGGTCTAATTTGTCGGTAGATCATCTAGGACTCAGTGGTTCCCAACCTTTTTTTCTAGCGACCCCAATCATGCACCTCTAGCCATGACCCCGAACCCACTGGTTAAGGTTAATATATATCTATTATTTTACAAATTGACAGTGTAAAAAGGGTACCGTATGGGTGCTAAAAAAGCAAAAATAACATGGTTCAATTTTATTCTAGTAAACAAGATATTTATTTTTCATTAGTGTAATACGCATTTACATGAACTTTAAAGACGGCTTAATCTTAATGAAATGTGTACTTCAATGTTGAGATGAAATACTATTGTTGTCACAACCCACAAAGACTAACTAAAAATTAAAATGTCTGATCAACTTCAAAATCAGAGTTGGGTAATCTCATCTAATGGGAGCCTGGATCTGGCTGGTAAGTTTCTCCAGTCGTGGAAAGTGCTACTCTCAAATCGTGTTCAGGTTGCAACCTGACGTGCCCCTAGCATTGCCGGTGCTCCGTCTGAGCACACAATGAAACACTGATCCCAGCTTAGGTTTTCTTCCTTGATGAAGCTGTCAACCAACTTGAACAGATTCTCACTTGTTGTTGTCATCTCCAGTCATTTACAGAACAAGAAGTTCTCTTCCATGTCGCTCTTCCCTTGGTACTGCACATATACCAAGAGCTGTGCATCGTCACTGACGTCAGTTGACTCATCCAACTGCAAGCTGAATTTTCCGCTCTCCTTGATGGCAACCACTACTTGTTTTTTTATGTCTGCTGACATTTCTTGAATCCATCTGCTAACTGTGTTGTTTGACAGTGAAATAGTTTCAATCTTTTTCACTGCATCATCTCCGATAACAGTGCGAACCATATCAAGGACTGCTGGCTTCACCAAATTTTCCCCACTTGTGTGTGGCTGTTTACACTTGGCAATTCTTTTTGCAACCAGATATAGGATGCAATTGTTGCTTGCCGAACAGAAAACACTGCTGTGTTCATAGGGGGTGTCTAACTGCTAACGCTTCAGTTCTTCTTTCCTCTTAAAATACTGGCGGCCTTTCTCTGCCAGTGACGGATGTTTTTCCTGGAGATGGCGCCTAAGCTTGTTTTCTTTGAGCAACCCGTGGCTGAGCACTTCGCCACATTTAACGCATTGGGGTTTTTCGACCCCAGGATCGATGACAAGCGTAAACCCAGTGTCAAGGAATTCTTCTCTGTACACCCACTTTCTGGACATCACTGAAGAATCTGAAATTAAATATATACAGTACTTGCTTACTGTTGCATCGGGCAAGAGATGCCCTTTGGTACAAATTTTAAAAAATGCAACGCACATGTATGGAAGGTAAAATTAGCATCAACTTGTGCAACAAGTATCACTGACATACTATGGTACAATACTTCGTCGTCAACCCCTTTCCCTTCACCCCACCCCTTTCCATTCACCCTCCACCCCTACACCCGCTTCCATTCACCTCCCATTCTCTTCCCTTCACCGCCACCTTCCTACCACCCCATCCCATTCCTGTCGCCCCAATCCCAGTCCCCATTCCCTTCATCCCCAGCCCATTCTTATCATCCCCCTTCCCTTCACCCCACCCTCCTTCCATTCACCCCACCTCCCTCACTTTCTGGTGATGCTACATTTCTTTTTCATATTCATTTAAAGAAGGAAACACTGAGTGTACCTATACAGCACATTCCTAGTTCAATATACGGGTAAAAATACATTAACTTACCATCAGAAGATGAACAAGTTACTTTCCCATTCGACCACAGCTCGAGTGGTTGACTGGCTGAGGGGAAACACGTGTGATTCAGGGTTGGCGGTTACTGCATTATATTTATGAGATAATACGCAAGTAAAAATTTGCCATCTTATCAGCAGTATTTAACAATATCTCCAAATCATTCAACCAATATTAGATAAGTATTTTATGTACCTCAGAATCCAGCAAATACTTGTTTTTAGTAGTAACATAAATATATGCTGGCAACATCTCGGATTCGAGAACTGAACCTGTATGATACACGTAGGGCCACAGGACTGTGTAGGGCTTGGCGACGGTGTTGCCACTTTTAAGAACGAAAATTCCCATGCACCTTACCTAATTTCTCCCACGAAATCCCACAGATTTATATAAAAATCCGTCAAATTTCATTCAACACCTCCCACGCAGGCCTATTTCTCCTACAGATTTGTGGGTATTTTCCATGAAGTGGCAGAACTGCTTCACGACCCCAAGAAAAATGCGTGGCGGTCGAGACCCCAGGGTTGGGAAACGGGGATCTAGGTGAACTGGTACCAGTTAGATAAGTCAAATGCCCTACAGAAAATAAAAATGCATCACTCAAAATGTTCTCACTTACAGAAACGTATACTTGCACCTAGTTTCACCAAGAATCTGAGAGATAAAATTAAAGATCCTCATTTTAGTTTGATAGTTGATGAGAGCACAAATGAGGCAAAGGGGTTTACTGTGAATTTGTCCCTTAGTGAGTTTAGCCTAGTGAATTCTGCCCATTTCTTTGGTAAGTTCGGCTCACCTCCATGGGCCGAACTTACCAATATACATATAGGCCATTATCAGTTAGCTTGCCAGTATTGGTCCAACCTTGTCTTGTGTTTTTTAGTTTGATACATTTGAAAGAATCTCTTGGGGTTTAACTTAACCTCCCTTGCTACCTTTAGTTCATTATTCCTCTTTGCTTTTCTTATCTCTGTCTTAGCCCTACTGGCCATTACCTTATAATAATCTCGGAGGTAAACTTCACGATTTATTCTCCAACCCTTTGTGTTCCTTTGGCCAATAATATTCTAAATAATTATTTATCCATTTGGGGTCATTGTTATTTGATCCGAGTTTTCTGTCTGATATGTTTTGCCTTTGTTCATTAAGTAACTCATTATTTAAATTGTTGTGGAACTCGTCAACCTCAGACCTTGCGATCAGGTCATCCTCGACCGTCATATTTTGTGAGGTTATCGTTGTCAGGTCTCCAGGTAAAGTGAGGTTGCCTTCTGTGGGTATATTGTGGAATGTCAACCTCAGAGTGTAAATTTTTACTTTTTAGTATTTGATGGGCTGAGTTGGACTATAACCCTTTAAAATACAGTAGTCTTTAGTTAATTCAGCCCAGACTATTGTGGTCCGAACTCATGGGTGCTGGACAACTCGTAGCCTTAACTTTAACAAATTAAGAGTAAATACGTCTGCTCTCTCAAAATAGGAAGAGCGTGAATATTGGGTGTTATGTTACTCATACTGTTCTTGTTTCCGTGTGGTTGTGACTTTTAAAACAAATCTATCCAGAGTATCATTATCATACAATAATATAACTAAATGTATATGCATTGGCCTAATTATCTACCAAATGAAGTAACTAACTAATAAATGAATATCATATCCGAACTCGCCACTGGTAATACAGTCCTCAAACACGAACAAAATACTGAATTCCTTGGAGTTATTGTTGATGAGAAACTTAACTGGAGAAACCACATACAAGCCATTTACAGTAAAGTCAATAAACAGTGCGGTATCATGTATCACACTCCAGTCACTCACTCTCACAGCAATGAAAGACATCTATCATGATCTTGTTTACCAACACCTGATACACTTGTCACACACTATGGGGGGGCCTCTGGCTCTTCAAATACATAATCTCTGGTTACTGCACAAAAGATAGTTGTACGGACAATGACCTACTTGAAAAAAAAAAACAGTGCACAAACGAAAAATTTGCTATATTGAAAATGTTAAAATTCGAAGATATTAACACCTACTGCTGTGCCCTCTTTGTTCACAAATCTATCAATCACTTGCTTGACAATGATTATTTCCAATTCCGGAATAATCAGAGATACAACTTAGGCACCCAGAGCTACTAAGAGCACCCCCCATGCACTCCTCTCGGTCCCAGACATCCATAAAATATCACGGTGTGAAGGTGTGGAACAACTTACCCCCACCCATCCGGGCAAAGACTACGCTCCCTTCCTTTAAATCATCTCTTAAAAAATATATATTGTCTAAGTATTAATATTTCTTGTAATACCTACTATATTCACAGTACCTGCTTTTATTGTACCATCAAAATCGTTTAATCGTAAATTATCATGTAAATAGATAAGTAATTACCATTGCAATAAAAAATTGCCAA